CCCTAAACCAACCCCTAAGCCCCTAAACCCTGGCCTATGTCCTCTGGCTGCTTTTTGGCAATCTTGGGCCTGCGAGTAACCCGGACCAAAGCTGTTCCTCTGGACTTCGTTCCCTCAGCCATAAATATGCATAATATATATGTGCATACACATACATGCACACATAAACTATATATGCATATATGCATGTGTAATTATATAATATATATATATATATATATGTGTGTGTGTGTACTGGATGTTTTGTACTCGCTTTGTGCAGTCGGAGCCTCCTGGAATAGCAGTCTAGGAGGGGTTCAGGATTTATTATGCGGTGAGGGTCTGGGGTCTTCAGGCTTGGTTTTATGGTGAACCCTGCAGCTTATCTCCCACTGAACTCGTACATGGCGGGGGGTGGCCATGCGAGGACAGAGGGCTTCGGCGCTGTGGCTTCTTCACCGCCGCCCTGGGTGGTGCAGCATGGATCAGGTGGAGTTCGGGGATTTGGCTCAGGTTGGGGACATTCTCGGGTTGCCATAACTTTACATGCGGACACCTAGCCCCATACCCCACGAAACACGGTAGGTTATGAATCTTTGTACTGCAAGATAAAACCCTTGCACTAGTGTTTGGTGCCGCGGGCAGCCAACACCTACATCGATGTCTTAACCCTAAACACCCTAAACCCTATAAGTCCTAACCCCTAAACCCCATAAACCCTAAACCTAAAGCCTTTAAACCCTAAACTCTTTGATCCCTAGAAACCTGAAAACCCATCACTGTATTTAGTGAGCTCATAGGTCACTGTGCCCTCTTCGAACCCGCATCAAGCGCCCTTTGTATTGTTATCATCTCCTGGACCCTTTACCCTCTAAACTTCCAACCCTCAAACCCTAAGTACAAACTCCCTCACCTTACACCCCAAACCATTAGAAACCCCTAAACCCTAAACCCGAAACCCTATCTCATCTCCTTAAAAGATCCGCCGAATCCATGACTAAGGCCCAATTTCAATTTCAATCCCATCTGAACCCCGATAAAGCCCACAAGTAGCACCAACTCAGTAACACCCTTGCAAGAACCCTTTCAACTCTCTTTTCGTGCTCCTTGAACATATTTCTATTCTTTTCTTGTAACATAACTCCGAGGGATTATTACAAAACACTCGTTTTTGTTTCGTTAACACTAAACCTGATAGGAGCCACGAACTCGAATGCAGTTGCGTGCCCGATAGCAGCAGGATTATCAGTTCTAGGTTTCGCGACCAGGACCCCCTCCATCCCCGTGACTGTTGACGCTTTTGGAACGCAAGGTCCAAAAAGTGACGACAGTTCTGCGTTTCGCGAGGCTGGGGTCTGGGGGCTGGGGCGCGACACTCGCGAACGCTTGCGAACGCTCGCGGACGCTTGCGGACGCTTGCGGCCGCTGCGCACGCATTCCGCGTCAACTCCAAACCCCCAGTGGGGACCCCCAGACCCCCAACCTTCAAACGAGAACCCTTCTGCTACGCATTCGGGAAAAAAGCCTAAACCTTAAAATCTCAAGCTCCGTGCCCGAGTCTTCGTTGACCACAGGAGCTCCGCACGACGAGCTGTTCAAAGAAGAGCGCGGCGAAGTGATGCCTTGGAGGTGTCAGGGGTTTTAGGGGTTAGGGTTAGGGTTTAGGGGTTATAGGGGTTAGGGTTTAGGGTTTAGGGGTTTAGGGGTTTGGGGGTTTGGGGTTAGAGTTTAGGGTCAGGGGCTTTTTGTAAGGGCTTTCCTGCCGGCTTCAGAAGGTTATCACAAGGGTTTTTGTCATCAGCAACCTTGAGTCTCATAAGAGCATGTTGTAACTAGGGTTTTTAGGGTTTAGGGTTTAGGGTTTAGGGTTTAGGGTTTAGGATTTAGGGTTTAGGGTTCATGGATGTACTTCAGCGTTTAGGGTTTGCGGCTCTTGATGGCTTTCCCTAAACCCTATAAACCCTGAACCCCTAGTGTAGGGGATGAGGGGATTCAGCGAGGCTTTCCGGGCGTTCAGGATACGCCTCCGGGCTCTTGGAGCCTATATACCTGTATACTATAGATTCATTGTGACTCAAGAGTTTAGCAGGTGTTGTATTCAGGATCCTGGAAGGCAACACAAGGAAGAGGAATTACCATGGAGACTTTAGATAGTGCTAGCTTGTTCAATGATTCCGATGGTCGTAGAGCTAACTACTTAAACTCAAAAATTGTAGTTTTTCACACGGCAAAAAGCAGAACAACCTATAGAAGGGCACTGTCCCGGACCTTTCTTGGTTTGTCTAAACACGCCCGTAATCAGGAATATAAGGCCACCCAGCAGAAAGAAGATGATCGGCTCAATTCAAAGACCTGTATGTAGCCATTATAATAGAACTGTCATAAACCAGGAGCCAAAGTCTTCGAATCTAACCTCCGAAACCTAAGCCAAACAGCTTAACAGAGGAAGTGGTGACAGTCCAAGAAGATTCAGGACTTATATAAGGGCCTTAATAGGGTTCAGCATTTTGGAAGTCAGGGCTTGGGTTTATCGTTTTCGGCTGAAAGCCCAGGGTTGGAGGCTTGTGGTAGGGCTGCCATCAACATCAAGTCGTTGAGTTCGTTGCCTTCACACCCGTAAAGGCAGGCTGTAAAGAATACCAGCACCGACCATCATTGTTCCAGCTTTCAGCTTTGATTCGGGAGGAAGTCCGGATACTGTCGACTCTGCTATGGCGGCTTCGCCTGGGTTGCTGTTGAGGGTTGTATGGAACCCCGCTGGAGTTGCGGGTTCACAGTTTAGGCTGAGGCTGCAAGTTGCAACCCGAAGGGAGCAGAATCAAGCCCTACTTGTTGGGGGCAGTATGGAAGCCAAGCCTACTTTGCTGTAGGTTGTTAGCGCAAGCCCTAATTATACTCCTAATATTGTATTTGTAGGTTTTGGCAGGTGAGGGCCATAGGTAAGGAACGCTCTTGCTGAGGGTTCCTAGTCTAGACGTGCAGTAGAAGGACCCCAAAAACTCCAGTTCTGATTGTGCAGGCTTTTACATTGGACAAAATCTTCACTGTATGGAAAAAGCACAGGGTGATCTCTCGTTACATACGGTGGCCGCGAAATCTCTCGAGACTGTCCCCCCGAATGCCTAAGTACCATTTGGTAGTTGCCATCGTCGGGTTTGCTGTTCGGAGACGTATCCAACCACCATAGCATTCCAGTACACACAGATGTGGACTTCCAAACTCCAGCCATCCTCCATCACCCCTAAATCAGACAGCTTCTGCCTTGTATAATTCATATCAAGGGTCCCGTTAAAATGCAAGGTCCTTTTAGTTAGGAGTTGTGGACCAAGTTGTGGAGTGTCTGGTTACTCGTGAATCTCAGCCGGGAGCTGTTATCGAACCCTGTTCCGACATGTCCGGGAGGCCAAAGCATTGAACCGATGCCATGTTCGATGTACATAAGAACAGCAACAACGAATGACAACGATGTTTCACGTGGTTTTTTTTGAGACGATATGCCATACCCGCGATGTGAACCACTCTATGTTTCGGTTCGCGCACGCCCCACGCATGCTGGATTATGTTGATGCTCCTACCTTTGTTTTCGGTCGGCTTGTTCTTTCGGACCTAGCTTAGCGGCTTAGCTCGCTTGCACACCCGTTTCAACCATTGCGACCCAAAGTTCTCAAAGTGCAGCGTGACTGTGTGTGCACATCATGCACGTCTGCTGTCCGTCCTCTTTACGGAAGGTGTAGGGCTTGTTTGTTTACAATAAATGCTTCGGGGTTTAATGCTCCGCAGCTCACGACTTGCCATTGCAAGCTTCGGGTGCCCGACAGTCCCACCATCCGGCAAGAATGCAAATCGGGTCGTTTGGGAGCACTTTGGAACAATCCTGTCCGCCAACGACTACCCCAACACGACTTCAACACAGTTATGACCAATTCGGGTGAATTATGTGACATATTTCATGTATATACATATATAATTGTTCTAAGTTTCGACATAAACCTTGTAACCAGCAGTCAACCATCTCACGCGAACAATTCCGACGTCGCACCGAGTCTTGTTCAATCTTCAAACGAGTCTCATGAAAAAATCAAAACCATATGAACCTGTAGCATGCCACTGTAAAGGGTACAGCCGCTCTGAAACTACGTTTTTCAATCCTGTCTCTTCAACCCCAGGCCCCAAGTGCTGAGCGATCAGTTTTCTTGATTTGGGGACCTTGACTCCAAGCGTTTTTCAAACCGCATCCTGGAATACCTTGTAGCCACAACCATAGGCAAAAACACCAAACCATCAACTGCGGCATTCCAAATCCTGTACTTTTGAGCCCTTCAGCCCACACCCTGCACTGCCAACATGTCCCATAGACAGAACAGTAGATTTCTCCAAGATGCCGCAAATAGAGGCGTTAAGTGGTTTGACTAACCGAGGATGTTGGGACGTCTACAAAAGTTATCTCTTATAAACCCAGAAGAGAAGTAGTAATGCAGTTATACAGCGAGCAGTAGCAACGATACGGGTTACAATGCTGTTAACCAATAATTAAGACTAGTAACCCTAAACCCTAAACCCTAAGCCCTCAACCCTAAACCCTAAGCCCTATAGACCGAAAGCAGCTCGAGGCCGCCTCGCCGCGCCGGTCGGCGCTGACATTCCTAGGTTTGACGGGTTTCCTAGCCGGCGGAGCGACCGCCCGCGCGGAACACCTTGCCACGTTGCTTGGTGTACCTTATAAAAAACCTCTATAGTTAAGGAATATACCTTGAGTTATAGTATATAGGATCCCGATAATTTCCATTCAGGTGATTATCTTCCTTAATTACGGGATTTTGGAAGGTCTGGCTTGGTGTGCGTTGTGATTTTTTGTTGTTGGGTTTAGGAAGTGGGGCTTGGGTTTCAGGGTTTAAGGTTGAGGGTGTGAGGGTACTCAGGATCACAAGGGCCCTATCAGAGGGACCTTGCGAGGTCCTGGAAACTTTAGACCTGGCCTTAAAACCCTCGTGCCCAGCAGCCTTTTGTCTGAAACACCCAATGTAGGAGCCTAGATAATTACCAAAACTATTTTGAACGGTTCTGTGTTGTAGTTAATGTATAATATACTATACCCCAACACCCTCTTCTAATTATTACGGCCCCTATACCCTAAACCCTAAACCCTAAACCCTAAACCCCTATATTGTATGTGCAGCCCTGCAGGATCCTTGGTATAGAACCCTCATAGAACTGTGCACGGAGCCCTTTTCAGATCTTTGTAGAGGTTGAGAGTTTAGGGTTTAGGGTTTAGGGTTTAGGGTTTAGGGTTTCGGAACTGTGTAGAGAAACGTTTACGGGAGCCAGCACATAGGAAGCCAAATAGAAACCTTGTAAATCCTCCCTGGAAATCCGGATAAGCCCCTATACGACCACGGACTCCAACACCCGATACTTTAAGCAACACAGTAAACCAGTCCTAGTACGGATGCCACTATCAACTTTTGGGTTCTTGTTAAAGAGTGTAATTCAAGCTGCCATCCTAGGGTTCCGAATTATGGTATATTCACAGAGCCTGGCTGAACCCCTAAACCCTAAACCTCTAACCCCCTAAACCCTAAAAGCTCAAGGCTTAGGCCGCAAGCCCTAACATAGGCCCTAAACCCGAAACCCTAACCCAGAGGGTCCGAGTACCCAACTGGTAGGGTTTTGCTTCCCAAAGTCCATACGCTGACTGGTTTTTTGGACCTTGAAACCCTACTCTTTGGGTATTTGAACCCTCACGGAAGGATCCAGGACTTATATAAAGAAAGCAAAATAAGGAACCCTAGAAAGGAAGGTCTTATATGGTTAAGGTAGGCCCGAAACCCTAAAGCCTAAACCCCCTAATCCCTAGATCCTCAATTCCGGTAGTCGGCCTTAAAGCCTCACCCAAAAGGTCCGAGTACCCCAATAGTGTGGTTTTAGGTCCCAAAATCCATACTCTGAATGGTTTTTGGACCTTGAAGCCCTACTATTTGGGTACTTGGACCCTTTAGGGTCGGTCACTGAACTACCAAAACCTACCTTGTGGCAGGGTCCCAAGAAGTCTGCAGTAGAGCCTGCGAAGAAGTAGGTTATGACAGCTAGACGTCAAAAACTCGAAACCCTATACCAGCACTAAAGCGCTGCGAAGTGCGAAGGCTGACTGCCGACACCCTGAAGGATGCCGCTGGCAAGGCGGATTCCTCGCGTATAGAGGGAGCCTTCATCTCATATAAGGTAGACGGTAGACTTGTTCTTCAGGGGAGGAGTCATCCTCACGTCCTAAACTCTCAACCCTAAACCCACAATCCGTGGTATCGGTCTGGCCTTGGGCGCACTTGCGATTGCTAGTGGCTACCCTTGGAGTTTCAGTTTTGGAGGGTGTAGGGTTCAGGGTTTAGGGTTTAGGGTTCAGAATTCAGGGCTTAGGGTAATTATGGGCCTCAGGGTTTTGAGGCTTAGGGTGTAGCGCCCTGATTTAGACACTCCTTGCTTGTAAAGGGCCTCGAGATGGGCCTTGTTTACTGGGGTCCGAAATAATGCGAGGGGGGTCATTCATCATGGGTCTACACTATGTTTATGCCCCCCGAATCTACTGTTGGAATCCCGATCCTTTTAAAAAATACAGTGGGACCTAGTATACTTTGGTGACTAGAAACCAAACTCTGCTTTTGATGTGTACGCGATATGGATGTTCATGCAAAAGAGTAGCTGTGTCAGACTTGCCATCGTCTTGTTGCTGGAGAGTCGATTACTCCCTAAACCCTAAACCACCGAAGAGGGAGGACGACAGGAGAGCATCTTGGGTTCATGAGCTCTAAACCCTAAACCCTATTGGCTTGGCGCGGGTGACCTGCTGCTGACGGCAGAAGGAGCTTAAACAAACAAAGACCAAACCCGAACCCTAAACCCCAAGCCCAAGCCCGCCCTAAAAGCCTAAACTATAAAAACCTAATCCCAATGTCCTGCACCTTGAACCCGAAACCCTAAAAGCCTGGAGGTCGTTGTCATCACCGGTGCCACGGCTGGCGTGGGTCTCGAGGCTGCGCGGACGCTGGTGGCTGCCGGGGCCGAGGACTCACAGTATGCCTTAAGGGATGGGGTTTAGGGTCTTAGGGTTTAGAGCTTAGGGTGTAGGGGTTAAGGGCTTCAGGGTTTAGCGTTGGGGCATTTGTAGAACTTGGAATCGGCTGCCCCTTGTACTTGGCTTCAAACTCCATCACGGGGTCTAGTTGTTCATAGACAGCTAGCAACGAAGTTGGGAGATGTTGGGGAGGGTTCTGGCCTCGCGGTGCACCAAACCCTGAACAAACCCTAAACCCATGATCCCTGAGACGTCCAGGTCCCCGAACCCAAACTTCACGCTAAAAATGCCACAGGGTTCACGGCGAGACTCTAACGAAAAAGTCTGAGCCTTACCCTTACCCTCCATGGACTCATATTTTCAGGCATTTGGGCCCAAAGACCCTATTACAAACAGGCTTCTGGGCTATTTTGATGCTAAGGGTTTATAGATAGCCAAGGGGAGCATTTATGAGCCTTCTGGCCTTTTTTGGGCTTGGTTGTTGCAGGCAAAGCTTTCTAATACTACCAAGGGTTCCGGAAAGGGCTACTATAAAATCTCCGGCTGCGATTTCGTTGAGGGTATAGGGGTTCTGTTGGCGGTTTGGGGTTTAGGGCTTATAGGGAGTCCTATTGCAGTTACTGCTGAACTCTAAACCTTCCTATCCCCTGAACCCTAAACCCCAAAACCCTAAACGCCAGGGGTTGATTCCGCAGGTCTACGTGACGGGACGCACGCTGGCGAAGGCACAAGCTGCCGTGGCGGAGATCACCAAGGATCCTGGCACTTTCTAGGCTGAGGCTTCAGCGTTTAGGGGTGTTTACCCGAAGCCCTAAACCCTACACCCTAAACCCTAAAGCGTTTCAGGGGCTTCGGGGTTTAGGGGTTTAGGGTTCAGGGGTTTAGGGTTTAGGGTTGAGGCTTCAGGGTTTAGGGGTCTTGCGGGTTTCTTCTAGGGATTTTAGGGCTTCGGGCTTCCTAGGTTAAGGGCTGATAGGGTCCTAGGGGGTCGAAGAGCCAAAGGAGTGAGCAGACTGGTCACGCGAATTTTAGCCGGCAGTGGGGCGGTGGGGGTTAAGGATGGTGGGGTTCTACCTAGAACCCAAAGAACCTACTTTTTTAAGGACATATATAAGGAAATCATAATAAGGAAGCCTAAAAAGGTAGGTTCTTTGGGGTCCAGGTAAGCCTTGTAAACCCCGAACCACCAAGTCCCAAACCCTTACCTCAACCCTATAAAACCCTGACCTTTTTTAGGGTTCCTTCGTATGGTTTCTAGATGTTTAATTAAGTCCTGAAAAGGGCAGGTTCTTCGGGGTCCAGGGTAACCCAAAAAGCCCCACACCCTGAATCCCGACGCCGCTTCGCAGGAGGCAGTGCCTGGCAAAGCCATCCCGTTGGAGCTGAACTTGGCGTCCTTGAGCTCCGTGCGTGCCTTCGTGCCGCTCCGTCGCGATGGACGGGCTTTTGGGTTTCAGGGTTTAGGCTTTAGGTGTGCTGTTTAGGGTTTCTATTGTAATGCTTCTGAAGGGAGGGGGTTCATCATATAATCAGTGGTCTACACTCTATCATACGAAACTCACTCTCAACCCTGAACCCTACGACGAAACTCTTATGCAAAGGTTCACATACATACATACGTACTTACGTACATACCTACACACATGCATATGTATCAGTATATGCTAGTATGACGTTTGTATACTATAGAATCGCTTAGAAGCCACAAAAATCAATAATACTATTCCCTGGACTGTCCTATTACAGTTATGCTACAGTAGACCTCAACACCCTAGTCTAATTGTTCAGGTCATGCGGATGATATAAATCCTGCAATACCCAGAATAAGGAATATACCACAATTCCCATCGTTTAGGGTCCTGAGCGCAGGATCTATATCGTCAACAGTTATATTATCGTGGTTCTGCAACGAGCACAGCCTGCCACGTTGGAACGAGCCTCAGGTCCGGGTGGAGCTCGGAGATAAAGCGGCCCATCGACATCCTCGCCTGCAATGCAGGCAGATTTCAAGATATGAAAGTTGGAAACTAGGGTTGTGAATTCGAGTTCTGGAATTTGGAATTTGGAACGTACGGCTTTTTGTGCTTTGTTTCGAGGACGGGGGGGGGGGGGGGGGGGGTAGGGCACCCGGTGACGTTTTCAGACTTAGGATTTTAAACTTGGGCTTAGGGTGTGGGGCTTGGGAGTTAAGGGCACTTGGAGATCAGAGCTTTTGGGGTTAAGGGCGTCGAGGTCCAGGGTTTTGGGTGTAGGCTTGTGGGGGGGTTAAAGGCTTGTCGCATACTTTCGAGTCGCGTTTGTGTGCATGCACAGCCCTAGGCTCCGCCGTGCTTTCGTGAAATAGCCCTCACAGGACTGGCACTGGGCACCGACGCCAAGGACGGGGACGGAGTGTAGGGCTTCAGGATCAGGGTTTAGAGTTTAGGGTTTAGGGCTCTAGGGTTCTAGGGTTTAGTGTTTTGCTTATTATTGTTTTATGTCGGGGGTTCATGGTAGTATCTTGAACCCTAGACCAGGGTCAGCTTTTGTTACTGCGGTTGTGACTGCTGTTTTCGAAATCATTGTTCTGGCTAGCATTATGTGTTCATGGTTGGTCGTGCTGATGGGATTTCAACCCTATAACACCAAAATCCTACAGCCCTTATAGTAACCCTGAACGGAGCCCTAAACTTTTCCGCTGATTAACCTTGCAATCCGCATCTTACTTTCCAGCGCCGGCTGCCCCCTTCGAACAAGGCAAACGCGCGGGGGAAACCAGCATGAAGCCGAAGAATGTGTTAAGACTAGTTTAGGGGCCTTAATAGTTCGAATAGGCTTTAGAGGTATATTATACTATAATTATACCGGTAATTATTTAGGCCCTTACATTACACTTATAAACCAAATGCCGGGCAGGGCTCCATTGACACACTGCATTGGCAAGGACACAGGACACGCATCCTCTGGTGCCTGTGCAGGCTTTGCATGTGCAAGACCAAAACAGGTTTAGGATCTACCAGGACCCCCTCTAACAGAACCTTCATTTGGAATATGATGGAGGGTAGTTTTGGGGGGTCTAGGTCTTTTTAGGGTTCATAGGGTAAGAGCTCAAGGTAGGTGTCATAACCGGAGCACAGAAGCCCCTAAACCCAGAACCCCAACCTCCAGCACCCAGAACGCTACGCTCTAAACCCAAATCCCAAAGCCCAAGACCCGAAACTGTCGACACGAGCCCAACACCAGAGGAGCTAAACCCTATAGACCCTAAGCCCTAAACCTAAACCCCATCGGATCCCGATGCGAAAACCCAGTTGCCAAACGACACCCGCACCGCAGGAGCCGCAGCTGACGGAGGATGGCTATGAACTGACCTTCGACAGCCTTAGGTTTTGGCTCTTTCGACCTCGGGTTCTTGGAGGTTTACGTAGAGTTGGGGGTTTTGGGTTTTTGGGGGTTAGAGATGAGGGCTTAGGGTTTATAGGGTTTCGTGATGCCCGTTTTGGGGTTCAGGGCGTAGATTGGATGTGGCTTTCCACTTGTTTGTTCAGGCTCAGGTGCGGACTCTGCGTGAGAACTGGAGCTTCGGGGAAAGAGCCGGCAGAGGTTTCAGGGCTTTCGGGTTTAGCGGGAAAAGCTTGGAAGAGATTTGTAAGCCTGCTCTTCTGTCTTTAGTCATGTCGCTGTGGAAGTTACGCACTTGGCCCAGACACATGTTGGGATGTAAGGCTTCAGGATATAAGGCTCATAAGGCTTCGAGATGGCGACCGTTCCTATTCATGTTTGGACTTAAAGAAGGTCGAAGCTTCAACAACTCTATACATCTAGGCTTCGCTACGTAGTCTTCGTGTTTCGTGTTCGCTAGGGTTGCCTAACTTGTATCTTGAAAAGATATAGGGTTTAGGGCTCGAATAGGACCTGGCTTTATGCCTTGGGGAGGTTCTATGGTAATTAACGATCGGGTGTTTTTGTATTAGACCCTTTTCCGGGGCTCAGTTATTGAAATCAGCTAGGGTAAAGGGCTCGAGTAGGCCGCATGGTCTTACCGAAAACCCGAGTTTAGGGTTTACCTATAGTCTCCAGTGTAGGTCCTTTTTGGGGATACCTTATAGAATCCTTAATATATAATCCCTAAACCCTAAACCCTAAACCCTAAACCCTAAACCCTAAACCCTAAAAAAGGAACTACAATGGAGACTATAGGTAGGGCTCAGGGTTTTCCCGCAGCAGGATCCCCAGTCCTTCCAAAATCCGTTCATTAAGGAATACACATAAGATCCTACATTTGGGATCCTACTCAAATTTAAGGTATGTTCGTTAATCAAAGTGTTTTGGAAGGTCTGGGTCTTTGATTTTCTGAATCTACCCGACCTTCGCCTCTTGTCCGTGCTGAGGACAGTTGGCACGAATCACCTGGGCCATTTTTTGCTAGCGCCTTGGACGTAAACAGGTTGGGCTCCCCGGGTGGCAAACCCTAAACCCTTCACGCTGAACTAAATCCTTATAGGGTTTAGGCTTTCCCTAGACTGCAGACTAAGCCCTTATAAGCCCTCAAACTTTACCTGAACCAGTAAGATAGCACCTTGCAGAGGTAGATTTTGGGGATAGCACCTGTTTTCCAGCTCTGAAGGATCCCACGCAAATGAATGAAACCTGTGTTGGTGGTAGTTTGGTAGTTTCACAGTTTATGGGGTTTAGATAGGGTTTAGGGCTTAGGGGGTTTAGGGGTTAGGGCTTACACGTTTAGTGCAATGTATCTACACTATACTCCTTGGCCTCATAACGCCTACATAGGAAGCACTTCAAGACCTGGCTACACATGTACATGGACCCGTAGGTAGTGTAGCAGCACAGCATGTTACGTGAGGTGAACCTCCTGGAGAAACAGCTGGCTCCGACGGCGCGCATCGTGGTCACTGCGTCGTGCCATGGCTTCCAGCTAACCTTTGAGCACTAAACCCTAAACCCTAAACCCTAAAAACCCTAAACCCTAAAGTGAAGGTTGGGGGAGTGGGGGAGGGGTACACAAGTGTTTGGGATTGGGGATGTAACCGCAGGTTTGGGATGTAGGATGGGTTTAGCGTCGATGATGTGAGGCTTGGGGCTAGGGCAAGGCTAGGCTCGAAGGGAGATTATATTTTATAAGTTATATCAGATTACATCCCATCCATCTGTTCTTGTGTTTATTCCCGCTTATGGAACCCTTAGAGCCCTAGACCCTAAATCCTATTCCCCAGTTTGAGACCTGAGGCTGAGGGGTGAAGCGATAGTGATGTGTAACTTTGCCTGCCCTACATGGGCTTCGGAGTGCAGGCGACGAAAAAGGCCCGTTAAACAAACAAATCCCCAGCCGACTTTGCCCCCCAAACCCTTGACCCTATAAACCCTAAACCCTAAACCCCTAAACCCCTAAACCCTTAAACCTGGCGAGGTCGGTCCACAACCCAAAGACAGGTGACCCAGGGGCTCAGGCCCCTTGGCAGACTCGACGTTATGGCATGGGGGTTAATATAGGGCCTCAATAATTACCTACACTCTTTTGGAGGGTTCCTTACTATAGTTATAGTATAATATGCCCCCAAACCCTATTCTAATTATTAAGGCCCCGAAGTTTTAGTGGTTTGGGGTTTAGGGCTTGAAGGCTTCGGGGCTTGAGGTCCGCTGGCTGGCACGCTGTGTGAAATAACCGCAAAATAACGGCCGTATAGTAATTCTTCAGGCCGGTGTGGAATACCCAGTCTGCGCTAAACCCAATACCTTAAGCCCAGCATCCTACACCCTAAACCCCAAATCCCGAGATCCTATATCTGAGACCTGTCTGTCTTTGGCCAATTCGAAATGCTGTCGAGAAATCACTAACACTGAAGTGTAATATCGGGCGGTGGGGGGTCAGAGGGCCTTGCAATCTGAAGTCTTTGTGATTACTTAGGGTCCTTGCTTGACGCTTGAATTTGGGATCTACCGGGTCTGCTACACTACAAGAAAGCCGAAAGCATCTCCCTTTCACGGGCAGAAAGATGTTCATAAGACTTTTGCAAGGGTTCCATAGGCCTTTTTTGGGCCCTCTGCAGGGTTAGATCTCCTGATTTCCTCTGCAGCCAAGAATAGACTTCCCCAACTTCCCACTCGGGGATCCGCTCTCTCTACATTTAGGGGTTTAGGGTTTAGGGTTTAGGGTAGAAAGATCCGCATGAGGACGCTTCAAACGTCCTTTCATCAGTTGGGGCAAACCAACTCTGCATGATGTCGGCTTCCGGTTCACCGGAGACCCCTTAGAGGGGGGACCCTTATTAATCCTACTTATGGCTCTCTTAAAAGGGACCTCATTGAGAGGATCGATATCCCCAGGAGACACCCTAGTCGTAACTCCTAATTGAGGAAAAGGATCTATTCGCTGCGCTTTGATGTCAGCGCTAAAACGCCCAGACCGGCTGGACCCCGAACCTCCGGAGACTCCAAAACCCGTTAATTAAGGAATAGCAATCGGGTTTAAGGTCGATTCCTTATTTGAGGGGGGGTTGTGGAGCTTTTGGGCCTATGGGCGCTGCAACCGAGGCGACTCTTGGCGATCTTTCCGGACTGTACAACTTCGGCACCTTGTGCTGCTTGCATATGTGGGTTCGGGTCACGTGCGGAAAAATATTTCGGTACGATGCAGTGTAAGCCCTAAGCCCTAAACCCCTAAACCCCTATAAACCTTATAAGCCCTAGACCCGAAACCTTAACCGTCCAAAACCGGTTTCGGGTTAAGGACTCCAGACTCCTCTTCCTAACTAAAGAGTATGTAACATGTGGTAAGTCTTGCTGAGAACCCCTCTATTCTTGGAGTCTCTGGGTATTGGTCTGCAAATTATCTGCCTTGCTGTTTGTAGTCCCTAAACCCTAAACCCTAAAAACCTAAACTTGACGAACTGATCCATCTGACCTGACACTACCCCACTTCCTCTACCCTGTCGTGATTGCCCAGCGACTCCATTTAGATTAAAGACATGTACCGAACAAAGTTTAGATGATAAAATATAGAAGGAACCTCAATCTGATTTAAGGTCGGTTCTTTATTCAAAGGGTTTCGAAGCCTCTGGGTGCATCTGTTCCGGGCAGGGTCCGACCTATGTAGCTGCTAGCTAGAGGCACCAACTAGACTTGAAGAACGTTCTCCTAGTAGTAGCGTAGGTAACTTTCAGGGTTTTGGGTGTAGGGCAGGGGGTATCTCAGTCGTGGAGTTGGTAACCTTCAACCCTTTTGAGGTGCTAAAGTTCTTATATAACCCCAAAGGTTAGCCTTCAGTTCGCCGAAAACGCTGGACAAGCATGTTCTGGATGCAATCGAGACCAGGGGATACAGCGCAAGCGGATGCAAACTTCTGGAACTTCGTTGTCATAAACACTCTTCGCGATGGAGGCCGGGGGAGATTCTGGCTTCAGACACGTGCAGGAGCATGTCCTGGAAGTCAAAGTGCAGATGAACCGCACTTGACAGCCGCATGGGCCAGCGGACTTTGGAACTCTCCGCCAGGACACGGTCCCCAGACTGCGCCATCCATACATAAGTGTGCCCAGATGTCGCGTGCAGGAGGCCTCGCGCCCTGGACAGTATGAACTAAAACAGCACCCGGACCCCTGAAGTGTGGAACCTTTCTGGCGGGTCTGGTTTATGATCCGGGCCCTGTTGTAACAGATGGTACATGGGTCCCGAGACATTCAAAGAAGGGATTACTACAGGGCCTTTAATAATTAGAATAGGCTTTAGGGGTATGTTATACTACAGCTATAATTAGTAAGGATCCCCCATAAATTAGTACTGGTAATTATTCAGGCCCCTATAGTACATGTTTAAGTTCTAAGGCTTCCGAGCTGTCTTGAGTAGGGAGCCCGAAAGTCTGATTGGCTGGGTGCTGGCGAACAGTGCCCTAAGCCCAGAACCCTAAACCAAAAAAGCATATGTGATGATAATCTTAATATCATAGTCATATTGATGATCATAAGACAACCATAGTATCATCCTGAAACGCTAAACCTGAAAAGCCCTGTTACACCTTGCGAACCTCGAGTCCCAAAATCCTTAAGATTTAGGGTTTTGGGGTTTAGGGGTTTAGGTTTTGGGGTTTAGGGTTTATAAGGGTTTAGGGTTTTAGGGTTTTAAAGTTTAGGGGTTTAGGGGTTTTAGGGTTAGGGGTCAAGGGTTTAGGGGTTTAGGAAACCTTCAGCCAGGTAAAGGCGCCTCCATGGTGGATGGAGGCGCCTTTGATGCGCAGAAGGCCTACAAGGACTCCGTGGGGCTCGGGTTTCCCAAAGGTTTAGGGTTTAGGGT